AATCCCTTGATGCCATAAACGTCCTGTGTATGTGTGCTTTTTTTTTTTAACACCATAAAGTCTTACAACCTACATTGCTTTTAATGGAATGAACTTGGAATGCGACAGGGCCAAGGTTAACTTTGCTTCTGCCAGTGCTAGTTAGTGTCATAACTGTGGGTGGCCCGAGAGCAAATCCTGCATTCTGATGTGTTAAGGAATCTTCCCAAGTTTCCATTCCATAATCCTGAGCTTTGGTTTCAGTTAATTTTCAACAGATATTTATTTACTTCAATGGAAGATCAGAATGTTAAGCAGAATTTGTAAACTCATACAAAAAAAAAAATCCCTCCTTTTTATTAACTCAGAGAATATGAATTCTTTTTACTCTCAGTGAAAAAGCCTTCAGCACCTTCAGAACACATTCAACATAATAAACCTTTATTAAATAAATCTTTGCCGGTAAGCAATAGCAATAGCACTTAGATTTATATACCGCTTCACAATGTTTGCAGCCCTCTCTAAGCCGTTTACAAAGTCAGCATATTGTCCCCAACAATTTGGGTCCACTTAGAATCGAACTCCTGGAGTAAGCAGTGAGTTAGCCCCGCAGTATTGCATTCTAACCACTGCCCCACCAAGGTAAGAACTACATTATGCTTATTTATATGTTCAGGGATATATAAGAAGATAAACTTTGAAAAAGAAGGCTAATAGGTTTTTGAAATATTTTAACACTATATTAATATTTCTGCCTTCTTCCTAGGGCTGAGAGAAAGAGAATCAAATTAAATTGTGCTGAACTTTTTGGCGCCTATCATTTGTCTTACTTTACAGCTGTTTCAACTGGGTCTAACTTCAGGAGATCAATGGGATTGCTCATCTAGACCAGGGGTGTCAAACTCATGTCGTAATGGTGGCATCACATGACATATTGGGACTTTTTTCCCCTCCGCTAAACCGGGCGTGGTTAGCACGTGACACATACGTCCTGTAGCTCAGGAGTTTGACAGCCCTGATCTAGATGTATCCTGTATGAATTTAACTAGTGGTGGCATGAAACACACTTTCTGTGAAATCCATTTTGAAGTGAAAAGACATGGATCCAGAAACCAATTCCGATTTATTTTTTTTTACATCTAGCAGGTTCTCAGAGAGAATTGATTGCTCTGAATGTTAATTTGAGCTTGGAAGCAGTTGAACAGAATACTGTTTTTGTGAAAAAGAATACTAAATGGATTGAATGCATGCAACAAGCATAGCTTTTCTGTGCCCAAAAACGATCAAAATGGCTCACTTGTAGGCTAAAACCATGAAGGGGAAAAAAATAATTATAAGTATTCTAAGGAATCTTTAAAGTAACTGTATCCTGGATTTAAGCAACACCGAAGATGAGAGGGTATATAAGTGGAAAAGGAAACTTACAGGAATATTGATTTTAACTTAAGACATATTTTTAAAAAGGATATGCAAAGGAGATAATCTAATTGAGTGCTTCTTTGGCCTGTTGGTTAGGTGTTGACAGGAACAGTCAGCTTCAACACAACTGCTTATAGGAATCTAAATTCAATGCAAATTATACTCTTTCAGATTATCACTGATGAGCTAGTTAGATTTAAATTACTGTAAACTTACATCTCAGAAGAACCAACATATCTTTTTGGTAGGCTGCTATTTTTTTTTAAGAGAGGAGTTTAAAGTACAAACTTTTAATGGGGATGAAAAAACCAGGACCACTCTGACTTTTTTGAAGATCTGTTTTAGGATCTTCTAAAGCAACCTAGAACTAAGGAGAAATTTCTTAATAGTGATTGCAATCCACCAATGAAATAGCTTGCTTTCAGAAGTTGTGGGTGCTCCATCACTGGAGACTTTCAAAGAGACTGGACAGCCATTTGTCTGAAATGATATAGGGTCTCCTGCTTAGCAATGGGTTGGACTAGAGAGCCTCCAAGGCCCCTTCCAACTTTTATATTCTATGTTCTAGGATCCCTACCAAGTTTCTAAGAAATAGCATTGAGTCCTATCAAAACATGTAGCCATTTGTCACCAAGTAAAGGATAATTACCCAGAGGTTGGTCATACAGAAACATGCTTTAACACATTGTCTACAAAAGTTTGTTCTTTAAAGACTCATTTGGTAAGATGTTAATGCAAACCTATTCTCAATCAGATCAAAATGGTGTGCTTGATTAGTTGGTTACTCCTTGGAATTGTAGTGTTAATGTGTGTTAGCAACAATTTTAATCTAGACTTACAAGGCATTGTAACTCTAACGAGCTCCCTTTAAATAAAGCAAACATAATGTAATCAGCAATGATTTGTCTACACTATTTGCAATGCTAAGTTTGGAGAAGAATTCAGTAGCACGTTCAATTTCAGACCAGAGAAGAACAATAAGAAGTATTGCCAGAAGGCAGAGTTGGGATTAGCTTTCCATTGAAGGATAAAAATCTCACTTACAGTTTGTTAGAATTAATTAACTACACAACCCAGCCCATACCTTCATTAAGCAAGCAAAAGTGACACTCAGAATAATTGCAGGGTCTAGTGCAAAATACATATTGTGAATTAATTTGAAATTTTAGTGGCACAATAAATCAAATGTGGTATGAACCAAATGAAGTATAACTTGATGGGGTGGGGGGATGTCCTTAGAGTCCATGGTGGGAAATCTCACTCCATTTAGTGAACAGACTAATAAACAGGCAGTGAATTGAAAGCAATAATTGGTATAAAGGTTATGTCAGGTTTCCCATGTACACCGTTGTAAAACCTTAGCTCTCCAGATACCATCCCTACATGGCTGGCTGAAGGCTTCATAAATATGAAGCTTAATTTCTTCACCAGACCCAACAGTGAAGCCATATAAACATAAAGGTTCTATTTGTTGCACGACATATAAGTCAAATGTGTTATATACAGTATAGTTCTTGAGATAAGGTTTAAGATATAGTGAGTGTTTTTTCCTCAATGAAAAATTTGTATTTCCTTTCGTGGTCTAGGTTGAAATATAAGTTCCTTCTAGCATGAGAACTGCTGGTTCTTGTTTCATCAGATTCACTCCTTACAGGTTAATTTATACCAATTTGCTCTTTGAGATTCATCTAAGTCAACTTTCAATGGCTGTGAGAGTTGCCCATAAGGAAGGCTGAGTGCCAAATAATTTCAGCCTTTGAACTCTGGTGCTGGACAAAACTCCTCCGAGTCACTTGGATTGCAAGACGATCAAACCAGTCAATCCTGGAAGAGATCAACCCTGACTGCTCTTTAGAAGGCCAGATCCTGAAGATGAAACTCAAATACTTTGGCCACCTAAGGAGAAGGAAGGAATCACTGGAGAAGAGCCTAATGTTGGGAATGATTGAGGGCAAAAGAAGAAGAAGAGGACGACAGAGAATGAGGTGTCTGGCATAGAGTTATTGAAGCAGTAGGTGTGAGCTTAAATGGACTTCAGAGGGTGGTAGAAGACAAAAAGGCTTGGAAGAACATTGTCTATGGAGTCACGATGAGTTGGACATGACCTTGCAACAACAACAAGCCAATTTTGCAAAACGGAAGTTACTGGACTCATAGTACAAATGGAAGAAAATATTTTGATTGCACACGGTTGATATTTCACAACAGAAGTCACTTGTTTCCCCATGCTTTGAACCCTGAAGTTTATTGGTCAAAAACCAATGGCAAACATTAGTTGGGAGGAATGGTTCTTTGGAAGCAATAACAACTTATTTAACAAAAAGTTCATTTCTGGCTTGATAAATTCAAGTTTCTAATGAGAAACCCAGTGTGGGAGACCCAGGGTAAGAGAAGAGCAGGCAGAGCTAAAGAGCGGAGTTAAGCATATAATGAACTTAGAATCCTTATGTTGCCACAAACATCTAAAAGTCCAACCGCTTTTGAATTCCGTTGATCATTATCCTGGTGCCAATTTAGTATTGAACCCTTAGTTGACTAGATTCTTTTGTATAAGCTTGAGTTAAAATCTTTTTTTAAAAAATTGCAACTTCACATACGGTCCTGATCCTTTGCACAGTTAAGAAGGATTTTGTCTTACACAAAACAATTACGTTTACACCAAGGGGATTGTGAAATGACAAAATTACTCAGGGTAAAAGCAGCTCTTGCTGGTACCCTGAGGGAAACGTCCTTTTTCTGAACCTTAGCAGAATAGTTGATAAGACAGAAGGCAGGCTATGCCACTGCTCAAAACATCTCCTCTACACACACACACACACACACACCTGAACATGCAGATTAGATTCATGGACTTCCATCCGAGGAATACTATCCTTGGTATATTAGTAATTTATATAACGCTAGAACTTTACATTATGAAAAGAGGGGTCAAATAAACAGAGAAACTGGAGAGGGACTTTTATTCATTAGATACAGCCACATACCAACTCCTTCCAATGGAAAATGTTAGCATTGTTAAAAATATGTATGTGCATAACTCAGATTAAATATTATTTCACTTCTAATTATGCAAAGGTTCTGGATTTTGAAACCAGTTTCTGCATCTCCTCTTTACATCTAATTTACCCTCCAAGAAGACTACCATTATATAGAGTATATAGCAAAAGAGCTCTTTTTTTCTTTTTTGCTGAGCTTTGTTTATAATCCAATTTGCTTTATTAGAAGATACCCTCGTGTGACAAGAAGGAAAAAGAAAGAGCTATATCTAGCATGGCCAGTTACAACTGGATTAGAAAAATGCGAAGAGGAAATAAAACCTATTTCCTGCTCATTTGTTGTTTTAATTGATTTGCCTTCAGAGAACATGAAAACTGAAATG